AGGACGGTCTCGATCTCCTGACCTCGTGATCCGCCCGTCTCGGCCTCCCAAAGTGCTGGGATTACAGGCTTGAGCCACCGCGCCCGGCCCCATTTCCAATTTTTTAGGGGACTGATGGTCACTCTCCTGGCTCTTAGAGATGTGTGTGGGTAACTGCGCTGTTGTCTTTGCTGGTGGGGTTAAAATTTTCCATATGTGCTTCAGGACTCTACCTCAGCCACGTCTTTCTGTGAGCACTGAACTTGTTAATTATGCATGTTTCTTACCTAGCTTTAAAAGATGACTGAGTTATTGGGGAGTTTTTTCCCATGTAGTTGAGGCATAAGCTGATAAAGTTGAATTGACCTAGACACAATTTTCTGTGGGATTATGGAGAATGAGGGAAGAATTATGCTTCGTAATTATGCTTTTTTTTTTTTTAAAAATTCAGAGAAAATAGATCACTTATGGTGACCCAGGCTAAAAGACCTAGGTCTTCAACAACCAGCATCATCTATTTCTAGATCAATTGCCTTGTAATACTAAGTATTCAAGCTTTGAGGCTTACTGAAGGAAAGATATGGGATCATTTACAATCCTGTAGACTATGACCTTCCACCAGGATCTACTCAAGACCTCATCACACATTACGTTAAAGTTCTTTCTGGTGGTGAAATTGTCAGCAAAGAGCTTGGCCAACCTAACCAAGATCACTTGGGAGGTATACCTTAGGAGGGAGGATGAATATAATTCATCTTTTTCCCTTTTGTTAGATGCAGATGAATTAATTATAGTTCCCAGAGAACTATTCCCTTTTGCGTAAATTAGTGTCAGATTTTCCATCCAAGTCTTCTATGAATAGAGACAATATGACTTGACATTAGGACAGAGCTTTGGAATCTAGAGATGGATGCTGTCTATCTTTGATTCTCTGCAATGCATGTTGGTCTGGGCTCTCAGGCCTTAGTTTATTCCTCCATAAAATGGGAATGAATATGCTCACTCATTTACTTCAGGAGATTTTTAAGGGAATTATTTAAAGACTATTTTGTAATGTTCTGGGTAACTCAAGTGGAAGACAATGGATGTGAGGGAATTTTTAAAATAAGAAATCTCTTGAATATGAATTGAGCAATCTCTTAAGTTCTTCAGATAAGATATGGAGTGATCTTTAGGCTCAGGAGGCCTGTCTTTTGGGAAAGTGCTATGACTCACTTCTACTACTGGCAACTTATATGTAGGAGAATGATTCTTGGCCCTGCTCTGAGGTTTAAACAATGTTTAACCTTGAAAGATTGATTTTAAATGTAAAGGTCACTTAAACTCTTTTGTAAGTTCTTATATTACTTTTGTTAAAATAGGCGAACATTTACCTCTAGATGAAAAATCAATGCTTCAGTGTAAAGTTTTCTCATAAAATAACCTATGTCTTTATTTTTTTCCGCAGACAAAACTGTGTGGAGTTTTATCCTATATTCATAATTACATTGTGGATGGCTGGGTGGTATTTCAACCAAGGTAATGTTAAAATACAGTCAACTGTGTTCTAATGATGACTATGGTGCTTAAATGATTAAGGAGCGGATATATGGCCAGGCATGGTGGCTCATACCTATATTCCTAGCACTTTGGGAGGTCCAGCTGGGTGGATCACCTGAGGTCAGGAGTTCAAGACCAGCCTGGCCAACATGGTGAAACCCTGTCTCTACTAAAAATACAAAAATTAGCTGAGCGTAGTGGCACATGCCTGTAATCCCAGCTACTCGGGAGGCCGAGGCAGGAGAATCACTTGAACCAGGAGGTGGAGGCTGCAGTGAGCTGAGATCGTGCCACTGCACTCCCGCCTGGGTGACAGAGACCATCTCAAAAAAACAAACAAAAAGAGGAGCAGATATGCAACTACATAGCTACCAATCCTGAAGACTAAACAAAATAAACAGTGTGTGCGTCAGAGTGCTATGTTGCAGATATATGAACTTTGGCTTCATTCTAATTTAATTCAATAATGAAAAAAATATTGAGACAAACAATATGCTAGATATTCAAGGATGAAAATGACATGAGCTTTGTCTTCAAATCTAATAATCTACAGTTGACTCTTGAACAATGGAGGGGTTGGGGCGCTGACCCCCTGCCCCACACACACATAGTAGAAAATCTGCATATCACTTTTGATTCCCCAAAACTTAACTACTAATATCCTATTGGTCTGGAAGCCTTACTGAGTACAGTCTACTAATAAATATTTTCCATGTTTTATGTATCATATACTGTATTCTTACAATAAAGCATGCTAGAGAAAAGAAAATGTTATTAAAATCATAAGGAAGAGCAAATATTTACTATTTATTAAGTGGAAGTGGACCATCATAAAGGTCTTCATCCTCATAATTTTCACGTTGAGTAACCTGAAGAAGAGGAAGAAGAGGGGTTGGTTTTGCTGCCTCAAGGGTGGCAGAATCAGAAAAGGTGAAGGAGGTAGAAGGGGAGACAGAATTGGCAGGCGCAGTAGGTATAAATTTATAGAAATATTTCTGACGTTTTTGCTTTTTTCTCTAAAAATGTTTCTATATAGTACCAATCCTTCTTCCACTGTTGCCTTTAGTTTCAGTGCTTGTATCATAGAAGGGTCCATGTCATAAAAGAAATAAAAAAGCAGACTTGAATCATCAGAACCCTTCTGCCAGATTGTCTAATGTCAATTTGTTTTCTGGTACTGCCTCTTCTGTCTTCTTCCTTATCATCTGGCAGTGGTTCAGAGCACTCGTCTCTACCAAGTCATCTTCTGTTAATTCATCTGGCGTGGTGTCTATTAGCTCTTGAATTTCTCCAAGATTCATATCTTGAGACCCTTTATCCCCCCACATTCTTTGCCACAGTCACTATCTCTTTCATGATTTCCTTGATTGGCTCTGTTGTAAATCCTGTGAATATCATGCACAACGTCTGTACACAGTGTTCTTCAGCAGGAATTTATTGTTTCAGGTTTGATGGCTTTCACAACCTTCCTATAACAATGCTAGCATCTTCAATGGTGTAATCCTTCTAGGCATTCATAATGCTGTTTCTATCAGGGTTCTCTTCCATAACATTGACAATCATTCCCATAGAGTACCTTGTATCATGAGCCTTAAAGGTCCTGATAACCCCCTGATTTAGAGGCTGAATTAAAGATGTTGTATTTGGGGGCAAGTAGACTACTTTTATGCCTTCTGCGTTGAACTCATGGGGTTCTGGGTGGTCAGGGACATTGTCCAATATCAAAAGAATGTTAGAAGGTAATTCCATCCTGACTTCAGGAACAAAGCATTGATGGAACCAATCCAGAGAAGAGGCTCTTGTCCAAGCTTTTTTTTCTGTACAACCAAATGACTAGCAGGTACTGTTTATCTTTTTCCTTCAAGGCTCAAGGGGTTAGCAACTTTATAGATAAGTACAATCCTGAGTATAAACCTGACTGCATTTACACAAAACAGTAGAGTTAGCCTATCCTTTCCTGCTTTAAATCCTGGAGCTTGCTTCTCTTCTTTACTAATACATGTCCTTTGTGACTTTTTTTTTTTTTAATCCCCAGGACAGGGCACTTTTGTTTGCGTTAAAAACCTGTTCAGGCAGATATCCTTTCTCCTTAGTGATTTCTTAATGGTGCCTGGGAACTTGTGTATTGCTTCTTGGTTGGTAGAAGCTGCTTCTCCTGTTATCTTGATATTTTAAAAGCTAAACTTCTTTCTAAAATTATCAAACCATCCTTTGCTGGCATTAAATTCTTCAGCTTTAGATCCTTCATCTTCCTTTTGCTTAAAATTGTCGTATAAGGATTTTGCTTTTTCTCAAATCCTATTAGAGTCTACAAGTATGTGTTTCTTATAGCAATCCTGCTCCCACATAAAAGCTGCATTTCAATATGAGATAAAAAGATATTTTGGAAAAAGTGCAAGGTTTTTCCCCCTGCTGGTATAGCTGCAAGTGACAGCTTTACAAATCACCTTTTCTTTCTTTTTTCTTTTCTTATCTTTTCCTTTTTCCTTTCTTCATCTTCTTCTTTTTTTTTTTTCCACTGGTCCTTGCACTGAATTCATTTTTCTTGCAGTGGTGGTCAACCATAGCTCACAGCTGCAGACCTCAATCTATGAGACATATTAAGCCATTCAATTTTTTCTTCTAATATCATGACTTTTCTCTGCTTTTTGGGAGCACTTTCAGCACCACTAGTAGCAATCTGTGTGGGTCTCATGGCATTATTCAACGTTTATGGTATTGCACTAAACATTGATGAAAATAGGCAAAAACCCTGAGAGATCACTTTTTACGGTGATACGCAATTTGCTGGAGAGAAGAAATGCTCAGGTGGAGATGACTAGCATCACCTTTTAAGCTGATACTTGGCAACACTTGAGCTCACTGCAATAGCAACAGGAAGTGGCTACAAAATATTTATAATAGTACAGTATTACTATAGTTAATTTTATACAGTTATGATTTAATACTGCATCTTTACATTTGTTTACATTTCTCTCAACTACAAATGGCACCATGTATTATGGTCTGTGTTTGTATGCTTTGATAAATTTTAACTTTGTACAAAATTCATATATATATCTATATAGGCTTTCTGCTGAATGCTTTTAAAAACTTGTGTATATTTTATGATAGTAAATGATAAAATAGACCAGTATCTACATCTGTTTTATGCATTTGTGACCTACCTTTTCCTAATTTTTCAGTATTTCTGGGCTATGTGGTTCATTTGTGAGTTTTGTCAAAAATTGTCACAAATCTCCAAAATGTTTTCCAATATATTTATGTGTGTATTTTTGTAAACCCACCTCCTGCACAATCCAGTATATTTATTGGAAAATATTCATGTATAAATGGACCTGTGCAGTTCAAACCCATGTTGTTCAAGGGTCATCTATAATTCTAATTAATTGAAGGAAGAGAACACAGAATGAACAATTCACATTAATAATTATAGCTGGCCAGGCCCAGCAGCTTATGTCTGTAATCCCAGCAATTTGGGAGGCTAAAGTGGAGGGATTGCTTGAGGCCAGAAATTCAAGACCAGCCTGGGCAACAAAGGAGACCCTGTGTCTACAAAATTTTAATTAAAAAACTATCTGGGCACACATGTAGTCCCAGCTACTTGGGAGGCTGAGGTGGGAGGAGCTCTCAAGCCCAAGAGTTTCAGGCTGCAGTGAATCATGATAGCGCCACTGCATTCCAGCATGGGTGACAGAGTGAGACCCTGTCTCAAAAAGAAAATAATAATTGTCATTGTGGCTATTATTTATTGAGCCCTTATTATGTGCCAGGTACTGGTTTATTTATTTATTTTTTTTGAGACGGAGTCTGGCTCTGTCGCCCAGGCTGGGGTGCAGTGGCGCGATCTCGGCTCATCGCAAGCTCCGCCTCCCGGGTTCACGCCATTCTCCTGCCTCAGCCTCCCAAGTAGCCAGGACTACAGGCACCTGCCACCATGCCCGGCTAACTTTTTGTATTTTTAGTAGAGACGGGGTTTCCCTGTGTTAGCTGGGATGGTCTCAATCTCCTGACCTCATGATCTGTCCGCCTCGGCCTCCCAAAGTGCTGGGATTACAGGCGTGAGCCACCGCTCCAGGCCGCCGGGTAGTGTTTTTAAGTGTTATGCATACATTGTCCCATGCGCCAGATTTACAGGATTTAAAGCCTTCATATGAGGGAGGGTCTATAATTAATTTCTACCTTACAGATGAGGAAGCTGAGGTACAGAGATGTTAATTAATTTTTCCAACTTCACATTCACCAATGTGGGGAAATTTTTCCTTTCAAGTGCAGAGCCGGGTCTGTAGGTATTTGTGCCAACAACCCATGCATCTTTTCTTAAAGGTCTCCAAGTATGTAGTGCTGCCGTTTGTATGTAGCGACTCTACAAACATCCACTTTCTGTTTGACTGGGATATCCTTGGTGAGCTGAGGGCTTTCTCTAAACTTGGCTTCTGCGTTTAACAGTGAGTCAGACCAGCCCCTGCTACCTTCGTTGGAGAAATTCAATCCCCTTTTTCTGGTAACTTTCACTGTCTCATTTTGGTCTATACTTGATTGCCAAGATTTAAATAAACCAAAATCCAGCTGCTTTCAAAGGCAACCCCATCACTGTCTTCCTTATAGTTTTTACTGTGAACTGAGGAATTTCAGGTACAATGTCCTTTAAAGAAAGACTTCTTCACTTTATTCCAACTCATATTTGTGTCGCTTAAGGGCATGAATGAAACCGCTGTTCCTTGTCATGTAAGAGCACATTAACAACTAATAAGAAAAGTGCCTTTTGGTAATGGGACTCTGTCTCTGCCATTTGACCCTTTGGATTTCTCTGTGATAGGCTGAATGAGACAGAATGCCTGTCAGAAAGGATTTCTTGAGTATCTTGTCAGAAATTTCTTTTCATTCTTTCTCATCCAAAGTCAGTCACCTACTAACTGTTGCTGAACTGTTCTCATTGGCTTTCTGGGAGTAACTCCCTAGACAGGGAGTCTCAAAACTGAGAACCATGTTCAGAACTCTTCAGCTTCCTCAGACCCTGGGAAGGGTCTACCAGCTCTTCCTTCCCAGATCTTTGCTTGGTCCCCTTGTTCCTGTTCTCTGGCCCCAAACAGATGTCATCCCCTCCAGAAGCCTCTCTTTACCCCATTTTGGCAGCCTCCTCCACTTCCTCTCTCTCCCATGTCTCTTCATTTCTTTCACAGCACTTTCAAGTTTACACTTTTCTTCTCATTTTTGTCTTTGTTGTCTGTCTTTGCTGAGAGAATGTGTGCTCTATGAAGTCAGGGAGCCTGTATCTTTTTCACTGCCAACCAACCTCAATCCTTAAAGTAATACCTGGTTTATGGTAGATATAGGGCTGGGCGTGGTGGCTCACACCTGTAATCCCAGCACTTTGGGAGGCCAAGACAGGAGGATGGCTTGAGCCCGGGAGTTCAAGACCAGCCTGGGCAGCATAGGGAGGCCTTTTCTCTACAAATAAAATTTAAAAATTGGCCAGGCCTGGTGGCATACACCTGTGGTCCCAGCTACTTAGGACGCTGAGGTGGGAGGATTGCATGAGCCCAGGAGGTCAAGGCTGTACTGCGCCCTGATCATGCCACACATTTCTGCCTGGGTGACAGAGCAAGACCCTATCTCAAGAAAAAAAAAAAGTGCGGCCAAGTAAAATAATAAATTTAATCTAGCATATCACAGTCCCACACACAGACTCCAAATGTTTACAATAGGGCTCTGGCAACTTGCATCTGTGAGGTGCTGAGGAAGGGAATGGAGCCCTAACATAGAGAAGACAATGATATGTTTCACTGGATGCGATGATAGAACATCATAGTACTGTATTTCATGTTTCTTTTTCAGACAAATTTTATATGTAATAAAATGCATAAATCTTCAATGAATTTTGAGAAGTACACACACCTGTGTGGTCCAAATCTCTATAAAGATCTAGAACATGGCAACCACCCAGAAAGTGTCCTCCTGCTTCTCCCAGTCAGTCCCCATTCTCACTCCCAGATGCAAGCACTTCTGATTGTTTCATCGTTTAGTTTTGTCCATTCTAGAACTTCATATAATTGGAATCGTATAGTATGTAGCCTGTGTAATGCTTCATTCACTCAGCATTATTGTGTTGCATGGATCTGTTTGTTTTCATTGCTGAGTAGCATTCCATTGAATAGACTCTATAACAGCTTGGTTATCCATTCTCCTGTTGATAGACTTCTGGGCTGTTTCCAGTTTTTGGCTATTATGAATAAAGCTGCAATGAACATTCTTACACAAGTCCGTTTGTGAACACATGCTTTCATTTCTCTTGGATAAATACGTAGGGATGAGATTGCTGAGTCAAATGTTATGTTCGATTTTATAAGAAACTACCAGAACTTTTCCCAAAGTGGCTGTACTATTTTGTATTCCTGCCAGTGATGTATTCTGAATATAAGTATTTTGTCCGATATGTGTTTTGTGAATATTTTCTCGGTCTTCATACAACATCTTAAGAGACTGCTGTTGTCTTTTGTGCCTTTTCTTTTTTCCCACCCCCTCTATAGTTTTTGCTACTTGTCTGGGTCTGATGTACATATATGGCCGTCACCTATACTTCTGGGGATATTCAGAAGCTGCTAAAAAACGGTAAGGAGAACCCACTAATTTTGTATTTATGCAAAAAGTAGCAGGATAAGGTCTGGGTCAGTTTCCTTCTCTTGAGAGATATTAACAGCACTGCAAGTTGTGGTGGTAAAAGTAATACATACTGTGCGAGGCCAAGTCTTGCCAGGCCATACACAATTAGGCATGAGATAGGACAATGCAAGTATAAAACTGTGCACTGAATGTGGACTCTAGTTCCTTGCAAAAATTTTGCATCGTCTCCAGAAATTTACCAAGGAAAAATCCTGCCTAGCCTTGATAATGCTTTGAATGTTCAAAGAAACCAAGTGATCTGTATGGTTAGGCATTCCCTTTAATTTATGTGATGAGCCAAAATTTTCAAATTGCAAAAATATAGATGTTCTGGACAGTGTCAATGATAGGACAGCCTATTTCAGGACTCTCAGCTTCCTTATTACAACCCAGTTTGTCACTTTTCTCTTTCATGTCCACCTTGCAGGATCACTGGTTTCCGACTGAGTCTGGGGATTTTGGCCTTGTTGACCCTCCTAGGTGCCCTGGGAATTGCAAACAGCTTTCTGGATGAATATCTGGACCTCAATATTGCCAAGAAACTGAGGCGGCAATTCTAACTTTTTCTCTTCCCTTTAATGCTTGCAGAAGCTGTTCCCAACATGAAGGTAATTTGGTATCATTTGTTAAATAAAAATAAATAAAGTCTTTATTCTGTTTTTCTTGAAATGGCTTTGTAGAAACACACCCTTTAGAGCATACATTTCCTGTTTAAGAATTGAAATTTGCTTGGGGTAGGTACATCCATATCATCAGTGGAAGTGTGTTGTGCCCTAGTTTTAGAAATGCATGCTGAAGTCATGACCGGTTGTGTGGGGACAGAGCAACCTGACCCGTGTGCTGCCCTTTCTGAGGACTACTGACGTAACCTGCCACTCTGCTTCTCTCTTGATGGAAAGTTTCAGACAGAAGCTGATAAGGCAGCTGAGCCCTTTCATTGGTTATAGGAAAACAACAGATAGGAAGGCATGTAGGGGACATCAGGCAAACACATAGAGTAGCCAGAAAAGGGAGTCATCAACTGATAGCACAAAACAAAACAGATTATAAAAGGCTGGGCGCGGTGGCTCACACCTGTAATCCCAACACTTTGAGAGGCCAAGGAGGGTGAATCACGAGGTCAGGAGATTGAGACCATCCTGGCTAACACGGTGAAACCCTGTCTCTACTAAAAATACAAAAAATTAGCTGGGCGTGGTGGCGGGTGCCTGTAGTCGCAGCTACTCGGGAGGCTGAGACAGGAGAATGGCGTGAACTTGGGAGGCAGAGCTTGCAGTGAACCAAGATCGCCCTACTGCACTCCAGCCTGGGCGACACAGCAAAACTGTGTCTCAAACAAACAAACAAAAAAAACCCAAAGAAAAACAAAAACAGGTTATCAAAATGTACTTTATAAAGTAAAAAGTGTTTCCAAGCCAAAAGAGCTTGCTGCCTGATGACCATACTGCAAAACCAGGTTTTTGAGAAAAGAAAAAAATTTAATTTTAAAAAAGAGACAGTCTTGCTGTCACCCAGGTTGGAGCCTCCAACACATGGGCTCAAGCAGGCCTCCTGCTTCAGCCTCCAGTGCTGGGATTCAGGTGTAAGCCACTCTGCCCAGCCAACAAAAGCTTTATATTGCAAGTCAACTCACAGGGAGATAGGAGTCAAGCTCAAATCTGTCTCCCTTTGCTGGCTTCCAAGCAGTATTTTTATTAGAAAATGTCAGGGGGTAAATTCTGAGATTAGTAGGTGATTGGTTGAAAGAAAGGGGAGGTCTGGAAAGGCTTTGGGCATGTCCAGTTATTTCTTTATGCTGCCTCAGGGGTAGCATGTGCAGATTCCAGGGGAGTTAATATGAAATGTCGTGGAAATTCAAGCTGTGACATCAGCAAGCTTGTTCTGTGCAGACTCCAGTTAGCCATCTTGGTTCCAACGGATTTCAGCCATTTTTTTCTTTTTCTTTTAATCTCATAAGCTGAGAGAGTTTCAGTGTTTCCGTAAGTTATTTCTTTTCTTATCTGCCATCCTCCAAACTCAGGAATTTCCTTTAGTCATTGGTTTCTTTAACTCTTTGAGGCACAGTTTCAAGAGGAAGAAGAGAAAAAGGATATCATTTCAAGGAATTGCCCAGGGACCAGTGCGAAGAGGATATTCTTTCTCTTGGCGGAGGAAGGTGGGTCATGCTCATGACTGTAGAACCTGGGTTGGGTTCTGCTGTGCGCCCTGTGTCATGTGGGGTTTGGAGGGTGTTACGGAAAGTACAGCAGAACCCCCAAAGCTGTTCTGACCCTGATGTGCAGTCATTGTCTGGCACAATGCAGATGACTTTTCCTCATTTTCTTCATCTGTAAAATGAGAACGATTCTACCTCACAGCTTTCAAAGAAAAGGTAAAATGAATTGTGAGCATATATAACACATTTTGACATCAGGAAAAGGGCCCTCTGTCAATTTTCCAAAGAAAATTGGACAGCCTTGAGTCTGGTGTGGGCATCTTCAAAAGTTGTTTATTGTACTTTTCTTTTTTTGTGGATACAATAGAAGTTAAAAAGGCCAGGAATAATATTAACAGAAAAAGAAAGAAAGACACTTAAATACAAGTGTTCCCATAATACATAACCTCCTGCATCCCAAATAGCAGTACAGTATTAAATACCCCAAAGCACACTGAGAATATACTGGTCTGGGAGTGGACATATTTGCATACTCAGGTTCCCCTACTCACTGGCCATTTGAATTTGGACAAGGCACCCCATCAGTAGGAGGTTGTGAAGCAAAGAAGTGAAGACTCCAGAACCAGACCACCCTATCTTGTCCTATCACTTGCTGGCTGTGCTACCCCAGCACTTTGTAGCTCTCTGCCTTGGTTTTCTTTTAGGTAAAATAGGGAAAATACGCTAAAAAGCTATGATTCTATGGCCTTTTTACTTAATATTCTGATCAATTATGGTTGTGACTTGGATTGTGACATTTTAATTGTTTTATACATTGAGACCAATGAAGGATGAGAATGCAAATTTTTGATACTAAGGCATAATTACTTCATAACCATGTCCTTTGCAAGTTGTAAAGAAACTTTCCAAATCTTACAATTGAAGATTTTTAAACAATTTCTGTTTTGCACTTAAATTGGCTCTGGGCAGGGTAAAACACACACACACACACAGAGTTTGGTTAAACACGTGGAAATAGACAATGGCTGTAGCAGACTATCAAGGCCTTGTCACTTTAAACATTCAAACGATAGATTCTCCTTTGTTCTAATTGCATTGTCACCAGGCAACCTTTTGATTATTTTCATTCCTATTAGATTTGGCTACAGGGAGCAACCATTTCTGGCCACAGAGATGTGGGTTTCTGATCAGTTTGACAATTACATGTACATTTTTTGTGTATTACTAAATTGATCAATTTTACTTTTAGAAATCAGATTTGTTGCCTTAAAAAGTCAGTGTCAGGAAGTGGGGGATAGAGAAGAACTTTTCTGCATTGAGAGTCTTAAGGGGCATAAAAACCAAATGGCAATGTGAGATCCTTGTTCAAATTCTGGTTGGAAAAAAACAACTATGGGCCGGGCGCGGTGGCTCATGCCTGTAATCCCAGCACTTTGGGTGGCCAAAGCGGGTGGATCACCTGAGGTCAAGAGTTTGAGACCAGCCTGACCAACATGAAGAAACCCTATCACTACTAAAAATACAAAATTAGCCGAGCGTGGTGGCGCGCACCTGTAATCCCAGCTACTCTGGAGGCTGAGGCAAGAGAATCGCTTGAACCCAGGAGGTGAATGTTGTGGTGAGCCGAGATCGCCCACTGCACTCCTCCAGCCTAGGCAACAGGAGCAAAACTGTCTTAAAAAAAAAAAAAAAAGAAAAAAGAAAAAGAAAAAAACATCTATGGATGACCTTTGTGAGACAATGGAAACAATTTAAGCATAGAATACGGATAGATGATATTAGGGAATTAATGTTAATTGTTAGGTGTGATAATTATATTGCGGCTAGAGAAGAGAATACCCTCATTCTCTGGAGCTGTGTCCCGAGGCATTAAGGGGTAAAGTGGTTGGATGTACTTTGAAATGGTTCTGCAGAATATACACATGAAGCATTTATGGCAAAGTGTTAACAATTACATCTAGTTGATAAGTATATAGGTATTTGTTGTATTATTTTTTCTACTTTCTTGGTTGTTTAAAAATGTTTATAATAAAAAGTTAAAGAATCTGAAGAGAAGTTAAAACCTAAAATCATATTCTTGGTAGCCCTAAAGATTTTCTGTGTTGAGCATTGTTAAGAGATCCAGTGATGGATCCATGGTCATCCCTGCTGGCCTAGCAGCTGTCCTGGGTGTGGCAGAGACACCTGGGCCCCACATATGTAAGAGCTGCAGTAATTACCTCCACCTGTTGCATGAAATGAGGCATGTGTCTGTGGCAACCACTCCAGAGGACACTAGTGGAGGAATTTAATGTCCTTAGTACTTAAAACAGAATTGAGGAGAAAACTGAATTCACAAAAAGAGGAAAAAAATCAAAAAGAAAATAAAAATGTAAAGACTAGTGACCCAAAGCAGTAGCTCTGCTCCATTTTCAGGTAATTTTTCCTGTCCCATTTTTCTTTTAGGGGTTGGAGGTGGGTGGGGTATGGCCAAAAAAGTCATTAATAAACAAAATCAGGTCATTTGATGTTCACCCTTTTTCTCCAGACACACTCTTCCTTGAAAAGAATGGTCAGAGGCAGAAACAGCTCATTGAATGCTGTGGAATGTTCCTTAATCACCAATAAAATACATCTTTCCTCACTGGGGGCAGATGTCTAGTGACTTTCTAGAAAAATGTTTATTCTTTCCTCTTTCTTCCCCCATCACCACACTTACTGCACTAGGATTTTATAAAGGTCAGTAAGAAAACATGTAAGAACTCATTTGAAAAGAGAAAGGTATTCCATTCATCCAGTGCCAAACGAGTATAAGTAAAAATATGTGGCTTGAAGTGATTGGAACTAGGAGTAATCAACTCTTCTCAGAGCTTCACGTTTTTACTTCTAGTGTCAGCGTCCCCCTGTGCCCTCCCTCCACCCCAGAATCAGTTCATTTTCTATCCCATGTTTTCTGGGAGAGTGCCAAGCCCATATCAAAAGAACAAAGCCCAATGCCACACTGTTTCCTACATGGGGTTATTTGCCAACCCGTCTGGAACCATAACCCACTAAGGGGAGTGATGGCCTCTTCTTCCATAATTAAATTGTTTGTTTCTTTTGGTTTGTGTATATTAAAAACTTACCTTTGTTTTGTACCTATTTTTGATGATGACTTTATCCTGTGGCCTACTTTTCCTCTTAACCCAGTTTTGAAACATGTTGTGATACTAAGCTTTTTAAAGTTTGATGAGTCTTAGGTCATTTCCTCGAAGTGGAGAGGTGGATTCACATCTATGTGATTTATTAACAAAGGGCTCTCAAGAGATGAAAAAGGGAGTGGGGGAAACAGGACAGAGAAGGGGGAAAACCAAAATAGGGGGCTCCTTTATTTTTCCCTTTTTTTTTGGTTTTGTTTTGAGACAGGGTCTCTCTCTGTCACCCCGGCTGGAGTGCAGTGGCATGATCACAGCTCACTGCAGCCTCGACTTCCTG